GTGAATTTGACTATTCAGTATGATCAAAGGTCCACGATGCTTCCATAAGACAATTGTGGTCCTTGAGGTCAAGGACTAATTTACATTATTGCAACTATGGAGATTTTGTTTGACATGTAAGTAAAACTTCCATAAAATACTTTCAGTCACCCATACACTTAAGGGTGTGAGCTTATATAGTGTATACCAGTCTTTGCGGATTGTCAATGCCTAGTTGACAATCCTATGCCAAGAACTCTACAGGGTGTGAGCTTATAGAGAAGGGTCTCCTAGACCTAACTTCCTGCATATAAACTTGTTATTTAGGTAGATAACTATTAATGGGACTATAACCTAAATCAACTAATTGCTCTTATGATTTATTGTAAAAGGTAATGAAATATCCTTAAAGTTACATCACATGTTTAGCTTTAGGGCGTATTTCCAAAAAAAATTACCTGTAGAAAAAAAAACACAATTAAGTATCCCTAATTGTTCATCACGTACACCAGAATCATTTGCACAAGCCACAAAACAAATCTACATGGCCTTAGGCCTCACAACCTTGTCATGGGCAATATGAGAGCTTTATTAAAAGAATTTATGTTTACAACAACAATTTTGGCTCAAATGAGATACACAAAGGGACTTCCTACTAGGGCTGTCAATGGGTCGGATCTTGATCCGAATCCAATGCAATGAATATACGAGATGGATCTAGTGGTAGGATCCGATGACCCGATTATGTGCCGAATCCGTTAACCCGTTAAGTTAACGAGACGAATCTAGATTTAGCCTAATTCGATCCGATAATGATCCAATTTGATTATATATATTATCACATAATACATTTACATAAATATAATATATATCACATCATACCCAAAAAAAAGAGTAAGAGATTGTCTGTCACATGTGTTAGTTTTCTTTTGAAAGAAGCTAAAAGATATTGAAAGAAACATTAATATTAGTATAATGAAAGAAGCTAAACTGGTTTGGGTTAAAAAAACATTAATATTAGTATTGAAAGAAGCTAAAGTGACCCAAATTGCGAAGCCTTTGTCGACCCATTTCCTGCTAGTTTTGTCTCCCACACTTATCTTCAGGTTATCTATTTATCTTCACTCTTTTTTACACGTTTATTCCTAGGTAAGATGGTTATCTTCACTCTTCATTTTATTTCCCACACATTTGTTCTTCTTCATCTAACTCTTCTCTTACCCCTTTTTAGGTAATTATTTAGACTAGTAAGATGGTTGAAGAACAGGGAAAAAAGTCTGATACCGGAATTGTTATAGAGGTGAAAGATTCTCCTTCAAATTCTCCAAAGAAACGCAAATTAACATGTAAGATATGGCAAGACTTTGTTAAATTTAAAGGGCCAGATGGTAGTGAACTTGCCAAGTGTAACCATTGTCGTAAGCAATTTGTGAGAGATAGTATTAAAGGAACTAGCCACTTAAAGAAGCATCTGCTTAGATGTCCGAAGATAAAAAATAAAGACATCAATCAACAAATGTTAGCTGTAGCAAAAAATACTTCAGGCTCCTCTACTGTGGTTAAAAATCATAAGTTTGATTAAGAGAAAAGTAGAATGGATTTTGCTAGGATGGTTATTATGCACAATTATCCATTCAATATGGCTGAGCATGAATACTTTGAGATATTTTTGAATGGTTTTCAACCAATGTTTAACCTTGTGTCAAGAAATACAGTGAGGTCTGATGTTTTTCAGGCTCACAAAACAGAGAAGGAGAGGCTATATAAGTACTTTGAAGAATTTTCTGGTAGGATTACTCTTACTACTGATCTTTGGACTGCTGATCATCAAGATATTGGATATATTTGCTTGATATCTCATTTTATTAATGATAATTGGGAATTGGAAAAAAAAAAAAAAGATAATTGCTTACAAATATATTGAATATCCTCACGATGCAGCAACGTTGTTTAGATATATTACTGATTTGGATTTGGATTGTAAACTGGAAAAGAAATTATTTTTCATGGTTATTGATAATGCTAGTGTCAATGATGCGATGGTTAGAAAATTGAAAAGTTGGCTATGTGACAAGTCTACAATATCATTGCAAGGTGAGTTATTTCATGTGCACAAACTGATCATAATTATATGTTTCATCCAAGTGATGAGGAGACGTAGCAAAAGTGATATGTGATTTCTTGAGAATTTTCTATGTTGCAACTAATATTTTTTTATGGTTCTTATTTTCCTACCTCAAATGTGTTTTTTCATGATATTTGTAAGATTCAAATGCATTTATTTGCTTGGGAGAGTAGTGAGCATGATTTTCTCCATTTGATGGCTACCCCAATGAAGTTGAAGTTTAATAAATACTGGGAACAATGTAGCTTGGTATTAGCAGTTGCAGTTGTTTTTTATCCAAGATTTAAAAAAGAATTTGGTTCATTTTTATTATGCTAAGATCCATGGGTTAGATGCTTGTAATTATGATGAAAAAGTTCATAATACTTTATTTGATCTTTACAATGAGTACGTTGAGGATTCATCTCAAATGTACCCAAGTCAAGAAGTTGGTGATACTAATAATGAGCAGGGTATGGCTTCCAAAGATGATGACTTGAGTGGATTTGATTCTTGGTATGTTGGGGCTCAATCTTCCAATATCAACGCACATAAAAAGTCAGAATTAAATGAATATTTGAGCCATTATTTCCAAGAAGTGACCCTTTTCATGTTCTCAATTGGTGGAAAGTAAATAGTGCTAAGCTGCCTATTTTATCAAAAATGGCTTGTGACATCCTAGCCATTCCAGCAACTACTATTGCATTTGAGGCAACATTTAATGCAGGAGGCAGAATAATAGATGAATTACGTGCTTGTATACTTCCATAAATTGTTGAGGCTTTGGTGACTACAAAAGATTGGCTTCCTTCTAAAACATGCATGTAAGAATGTTGATTATTTATGTGTTCAAAATAATTAGTCATATTTTTAAGATTAGTTATTATTTTCATTTTTTTTTTCAGGATATGATTTCGGTTCTCCAACACAAAAAATGCAAAGAGGAAGATGAAAGTATTTTGGTGGAGTTGGAAGATTTTGGTTCATGTTGAAGCAAAATTGAGTATTTTGGTTCCTGTTGAAGTGTAATTGAATATTTTATATGCATGTATCATATTATTTTGTGGAAAATTTAAGTTTATATATGTATATATTATATGTTAGTTTTTTTTTTTAATTTTAAAATATATGAGATAAAGGAATTCGGATCCGGTATCCGATAATCCATCGGATCGGATGTGGATCTAATTATTTATGATCTGTCGAATTATCGGATCGAGTTGCAATGTTTTTCATTTCGAATAAGATCGAATCAGGTTGCCATGTTTTTCATTTCAAATTGGATTGGATATAGGTGGATCCGCTCCATCTCCTATCCGTTGACAACCATACTTCCTACAAGGTAATAATCAAAGAGCGGCAGAAGGTAGAAAACCTCACGTGGTGGCCCAGATCACAACTCTCAATTGCATAGGGGTGCAAAACAATAAAAATGTGAGTGGACAAAAAGAAAGTTTTTGAAAATAGATATACATGACATACTAGTCCCTCTATTTTCGTAACCTTTTTGAAAACTAGATAAAAGCCTTTGTATATACTCGTATGAAAAGAGATTGATACTCAACTATATATATATATATATATAGGTACATTATGCATGAACAATAAAGAGTGGAAACTAGAAATGAATTGAATCTCAAGTCATAAAATGTGATACAATGTAAAAGCACTCCACCTAAGTGTACCTAGGGGAAAACTAGCCAACCCTGTGCAGACAACATGAACAGGGTTGTAGGGGAAGAATTCTGGCCAAACACCTGTATATACAATACAGGTGCATGCAAAACATTAGGCGGACACCTATAAAGTAATCTCGACGCAGGTACATGCAACATTCATGGCCTTCGACTTGTATACACAATACATGTACGTGCAAACTAGTCATACGTGCCTAGATTAAAGGAAACATGCATCTAATGAATTTTAGCCACAACACATACAACAAAAACATTTATAATGGTGGAATCATTTTGTTTAATCTAGTTGGGGTAATCCTATTTCATTTACCCTAAGTATCTTTGGATCTAATCTCTTTGTGCACAAAAGGAAAAGAGAAGAAAGGTTAAGCATTTACCCATGTAGCCTTTTCTTGGATAACCAAGAATGATCACCTTATTGGAAAGGCCTTCAATCTCATCTTTGAATGGAATTTCTTCAACCAAGAGGCTCCAAAGTAGAAGTCATCTAGTTCACCACACCAAAATGGATAAGAGATGGAGAGAAGATCAACCAAGAGGCCTTAGATGCTAGACTACCTCTTGTTGGTACGATTTTTGGCAAAAGATGGAGGAAGAAAATCTCACCTCACTACTACAAAAATTGAAATAGACGACGGGGAAAAAACGTCATCTTTTTCTTTTGAAAACCGTCGTTAAATCGACCGCCATCTTGTGAATGTCAAACTACAACGGTGATTCATCGTCATCTATTAAATGTAAAAACAATGGTTTTTCTGAAAGGACTGTTGTCTAATAGATGTAAAGACGACAGTTTGTCTAATAGAACCGTCATTTATTTTATCCAAACACATCAATTTGTTTAAAAACCGACGTCTATTAAATCTAAAGATGACGGTTTTGTTCCAAAAACCACCATTTATTATCTGTAAAAATGACGTAGTGATTTTACATTTTAGCTTTCTTTTTTTTAGTCTTCAAAAGCTCTACAACGATTTTAACTTAAACACAACCATAATGCTTTCTAAACAATAATTTCATGTCCAAATCTTCTATTACCCACACCATACATATATATACTAAAAAATTATTTCTTTCATAAAACTTGAAGATTCAATAGTAATTACATTGTTTACCAATCTTGATTCCTACTATATTCATACAAAATACCATATCCATAGCATTAACCTATAATTACAAAACACCATATCCAAAGCATTAACTTATAGTTGTTGTATCTTCCACAATTTGTACTTGTTCTCCACATTCAGCTATCATCTTGGAGTAGTGTTCTCAGTCATCTTGGTCAAATGGATCTTCAATTGACACAATAGGGTACTCACTCACAAATTATTTGTAGAGGTCCTTGAGAGCATTTCTTGAGATCTTTCGGGAACCATCATTTTTCTGTGCAAACAAACCAAACATAGAGATATATTAACAGATAACTCACCTCTTCCTTGAAGTTCAGGTCATAGGTTTTATCTGACCCATAAAACTCAGATGCAGCAACATCCATTCCAATGACAACCTTACAACTTGATCACAATTAAAACCAAGAATTCTTGGTTTGACACAACTTCACAAAAGGCCAATTAATAAACAATGCAAGAAATAGAAAGTCCCTTATGTTTGCAAAATGCAAACCCAGAAATTCATGCATCAAGTTAGTGAGTATAGTGCATAACCATGGCTATCAGTAGCAGGCGTGTCCCATGCTGGTCTATCAAGGGCTTTGTGAATATCATGTATGATGACAACAACAATATATGAAGGGTATTTGAAATATTGAAATCTGCATAACACATATATGAAGGGTATTTGAAATATTGAAATCATGAACTTAGTTGCTGCTGAAAATTACCATAATAAAAATTTAGAATTTAAGAAGATTAGGAGGAGAAAATTATCATGGCAATGGTGGCAACTCGAAAAAGGGCAATGAGAGATAGGACAGATACTTGGCCAACATATATGGCCATGGCTTCAAACACTAACACGCCGTACACATAAGGATGCTACAAAACATTGATAGAAGCATAATAAACATAAGAAACTAGATATAGTGCAACAAAGATTAGTCTTAAAATTAGACAGCATAAAGAATATTGGCAGTCCAGATGCAACACTAATATTATTCTCTACTTAACCACCATGTGAAGTTCATGTGTGGATCTTCTATCATAGGAAAACCACTTATATATTGTGGTCCAATTGTGATTGATCCATATTTCTTAACAATTTTCGCCTGGGATCAAATCGAATCGTCCGTCCATCATCTCAAAGTAAAACGTTATTTCGAGAAAACCTCAATGCAAATGAGATATCCCATTTTATACTCCCCATATTATATATGTATGGCCAATGTTGGAGAATTAATATGAGATTCGTAACTATCAAGTCATGGATCTCCATGATGAATTCCATATTAGATGGGCATGGTGGGCATGCCATTAATGACTTGACTACAATACTATTCTTTGTGAAGTCAAGATTAAATGAAGATTAGACATCACTTAATTACCTCATAACAAGAATTCCATGCCTTAAATAGTTCTCCTGTAAGAATCATGGGTGGAAGTAGAAATGACAAGCCAACAACAGTTGAGCAAAACAACATTTCTGTCTGTAGAAAACAAAAAATATAACAGAAAATTATAAAGACAAAAAGGTAATAGTTTTATCAAAAATTCTATATGCATTTGACGAGCCATGAAATGACTTAACAGGAACTGAAGATCACCTATGAGGTATCCTGATTCACGGTACAGATTACTTCTTGCAGGTTACCTAAAAAGGCATCCATGACTAGAGAACATGATATCATTATCACACCAGCCATGCTAAAATTAGGAGATGTCTATGCATCTGCTAAGGTGAAAAGGATCAAACCAATCACTAGAAATATTGCTGAGATGTACTCATGAATTGGGTATTTCCTTCTCAATCCAGGAACAAATGCACCCATCAACATCACAGGCAGTACCTAAATTTTCCCAATCACAGTATGACATAAATTAGGGAGGCCTAATTGACTTTGCAACAAATTAAAAAGGCTCACAAAGAAGATCATGTAGATTTATTGATAGTTTACCTTTGTTGACTTGAACATTATCTGTGCAGGATAATCGAGCCATGCCCATGATCCCTTGGTCAATCCTTGAGAACCCATAAGAAAGCCGACAAAATCACATCAGATGACAAAATCTTATGAATGAGCCCATTTGGCTTACAAGAAAGAAGAGCGGGATTGACAAATTTTGGAGACATTAAAACAAGATCCAAACTATAATAAAGATGCAAAATCCATAGTATAAAAACAGAGAAACAAAACTTGAATTTGAAAAAGGGTGGCCTAATTTGACTAATTGGTCAGGCGATCAAATCTGAAACAAGAAGAAGCAACCCTCCACCAAGGAAACCTTTTGAAGCAACCTCGAGAATGAATCTTTATCAAACTCAGTCACCGCTTCATCATCTTCGTCTTCTGAAACTCTACAACAATCATTTTCGTCAGCATCTCCCTCAGAGCCAGGCTAATTTCATATCTGAGTTGCAGCCGTAGTTATAAGCTCTACAACCGAAGCCAAAACATACAATTTCATAAGAAAATGAGAGAGAGAGAGAGAGAGAGAGAGAGAGAGAGAGAGAGAGAAACAAACAAACAAATAAACAGAATACAGAGGACCTTAGAAATGTGCGATTTGCGAATCAAGTCAGATCCCAAACTTAAACGAAGGTATTGTCTGGCTTTACCCATGGCCATACTTTTGGCGAACTCAGTCACATGGACAGCGAGATCTGTGACGTAGATGACCAAGACGGCGCCATGGAGATGGTGTTTCAGAGATGATATAGGGAGTTGAGAGAAAGAGATAGGGTTTTCTAAAAAGGTTGCGAGATAAGAGTGTTTGAGAGATAGAGCTGCCCGTGAAAATTTAGAACTTTATGTGAAATTATTGTCCCGTGCTTTTTAAAGCATGATGGCTTTAGAAAGGAACGGTTGTCATTTTTATCTATGCCTTTTAAAGCACGATGGTTTTAGAAGGAACCGTCGTGGTTTTTCATGATTTTTTTAAAAAAGACGCTTTTTAGTTTTACCGTCGTTTAATATGCATCGTAGTTTCCCATAATTGTAGTAGTGCCCACAACAACACCTCAAAGTTGTGGAAGCCAAAAACCCTAGCTATGAAATGTCAAAGTGTGGCTTAAATAAGAAAAGACACACAAGTGAGGAGAGAAAGACTTATTCTTGCAGTTGTGTGTCTTTCTCTAATAAGATTCCATAATCTCAAAGTGTGGCTGGCCGTGGGGGTTTATCCCTATAAGATTTGAAGACTTTTTCTTTCAAATCTTATCCACTACTCTGAGCAAAGATTTGATTAATCATATCCTAGGAGTATTCTCTCTCCTTACTGAGAGTAGAGATCCCTTGTTGTACATTCATTTGCCACCATGACTTTATTGAGAGTCCCGATAAACACTTTTTAGTTATGTCTTTTATAACACAACTGTATAGTGCCCTCAAAGACAAACAACATAGTCATAAGACAACTATGATGTCTCATGTCTAAGGATTAGTTTGCACCTTTGCAATTTATGAGTTCTGGTTTGATATGTGAGTAAAGACTTCCTTTTTAGAACTCATATCTTTAATCGTGTTCAGTGTACTTGTTCCCCTGCAAACACCTACACACATATCTTGGTGTCACTACACTTAATTACTTCAAACCTCGTCATCCTCTACATTTAGAGAAGACAATGTGTATACTGGTCTTGGCGAAAGATCAATGCCTAATTGATATTCCTACGATCATGAACATTTTAGGATATGACTAGGGACCATGATAAGTCCAAATGTATGAAATCTCATTACATAGTTTTTATGTCCACTTTCATATTCCTAGGACTATAGTTGTTTTACATTTCTTCATATAGAATAATCATGAATTGAAAACAACTGGTCTTGCCTATGAATAACTTAATAAGTCATTACAAAAGATGTCCTTAACATTAATTATCACATAATTAGTTGGTTTTAAGGGCATACTATTAACATAGATGGCCCACAAAGGGAAAATGGGTAAAATAACCATAATCCAAAGTTAACCGGGGGTAAGGTACCTAAGGTGGGTTTGAAAACCATTTCCCAAATAACACAATTTCGTACTCATACAAAGTGGGCTACTCAAGTCATCTTGCAACTCAGTGTTTTTCTTAATATTACTTAAACAAGGCTTCCCAAATCCTTACTCGATAAGCAACTCAGAAGTGAAAACATACGTATAAAGAGACTTCATAATTCAATAAGCATTTCAAAAGCATTTTTAGGCGATTCATATCGAACCCAAGTTACAGCATGAATATCATAACCAAATCCATAAACTAGATTAAAATTATGCATCTCAATAATGTCACAAGTAATAAAGCTCATAAGTATTTTAATTGTTAAAACCATTTAGAAAACAAATGTCCACTCACAGATAGTCCAAGGCAAATTCAACGCTGAGTGGGATCGTCTTGAGTAGTATGTGGCGCTTAGGAAGCTAATTTTTAAGGAATACAAGCGTTAGATTAAACTGAACGCCAAACCAGTATTTAAATTAAAACCCTAGTTGTTTCGGAACCTTAAGTGTGTGCAAAACATAGAGGAATAAGTTAAGAAGTTGTCTCAAGCGTTCCCAAAGGCCAAGACAATCCTAGAAGACATCCGGTCAACTGAGTTAATGGAGCGCCCTAACTAGGTCAACTGGGCCTACATTGCCCACAACCTCTGATCTCCGATCCGGAAGTTCCTATAGGTCAACAATAGTCCACTAATCTCCAATCTAGAAGTCCATTATAGTACAAGCGGAGGGCTATTGACTAACCTAATCCTAGAATCATTGAATTGGAAGATCTGAACCTTCGATTCTAGATATGTAAGTTCCTAAATGAGCGGCAGGTGGGATTGATCTAACGGTCCGATCATTCCCGATCAAACGGTGCATAATAGGAGAAACTCTGATCGTCAATCAAACGATGGACTTTCTCCAATTTGAGCATATCGTCGTGCTGAGTACAAGATACTTCTAAGCCAAAGTGGGCCACCATTAGATGGTCCACGAGCCACCATCATCGGTGGGTGGCTTAAGGAATTTTCCTACGATGAAAGAAGTTCAAATTGGCAGACAAGGTTTTCCGTTGGAAAACCCTAGAATTTCTCGGCATCAATTTGGCTTCTCTGGCAAGCTAACAACGGTAACTCTGGGTTAGCTCTCCTGTTCAACGAGGGGAAAATCCTGACCAAGATCATCTACAACGACGGGCAGGAATTGCCGGTGGTGGCCTTTGACAGTGAAGGTGCGACAGAGATAACTTTTCAAGTGGGACAAGCGATGTTTCAGGGGTTAATTGGACATATTGATGGTGAGGGAAAGGTAATGGAGGAGGAGATGAGTGTTTTGGGTCCAAGAGTGTCGGCTATGATGGTCGGACGACGATGTTTGGTCGCTAGGAAGTCCAACTATAGCGGTTGGAGGAGCGAGAGAGTCAGGG